TGTTCATTTTTTGTCAAGATCTATGAAAACTGGGATTTAAGGAATTTTTCCTTTCAGTGATCACTTCATGCGGTTAACTGCAGATAATCCTACATTTTGGAACAATAATATTGGTAATTTTCTGTTATTGACACATGTATATACATATATATGACACATACACATATATCTCCTTAAAAAAAAAGTGTCAGTCGAGCTCTGTCAACACCAATGCTTTTGATTTGTATTTATCTAAAAATAATATTCCCCTTTCACTATGACACTGAAGAATATTTAATTGCTAGGTAGGGAATGGGAATCATTCCCAGATATTACACAAGAATAATGATGCCTGCTGAGAGTAAAGATGGTGCCTAGTTACATAAATGTGTTTCATGCCTGAATTATTATTTTGGAGAGGACATGAGAGGATTGTTTTTTGTTCTTGAGTAAATCCAGGAAAACTGCATTGTTTTGAAGGGTATTTGTTAAAACTTATGTTACTGTTGTCACTGTTCTATATGATTTCCTCTGGTCCTTAAGCTTGTATGGGGTACTCTTCCCTGAAGCATTACCTATTTAATTCACTATTGAATTATATCTGCTGTAATAAAAGAAAGAAAAAAAAAAATCCATAGAGTTAACCTCAATGAGATGACATAGTTCACAACAGCTTAACTCACAGCAGGATGTGTAACAGAGACCTGAGCTGAGTGCCAAGTAGGCAGAAGTCACTTGGGGCAGTGCTTTTCACCTGCAATACCCACTCTGACTTATTTCATGCAGTGTCATGAAGAAGGATTGAGAAAAGATTAATTTCACTGACAAGACTTTTCTCTTTTTAGCACCTTGTGGATGATCTTCATTGAAAACACAGGCCTTCACTCCAAGGTGGAAGAAAACCAAAACAAGTGGGCAGGAATCAGGGTGTTGAATCTGTTCAGTAGCCAAGCAGAGGAATTGAAACAAAATTCTGGGGCACAAGTCATCTCATTTTAAAACCAAAAGTCAAATTAAAAGTGATGTAGAAGCACCTACTTCTCTTTTTTATCTATGTAACTAGCTCAAGTACAGACATCTATGCTAAAATTAGATGACATGAACCTCATCATGATTTATTCATGCAGCTCCCTCCACTATGGACAGACTATGGCATTGTGCCTATTCCTAGAAATCTTTTAAAACTTTTCTTCTTGATGTTGCTTTAAAAGAAAAATTGAAGAGGGAATTTGGAGTTCATTAAGGAGATAAATGTTTACATGATATTTTTTCCAAGTATGAGTGGCTGAATGCAGATTCTTGTTTGAAACAGTACTCATTTGGGTGATGGCATTGTCATCATGAATGGATAAAAAGTGGGAGTTGGCTTTTGGTTGTGAATGAAAACAATGAATAGAAAGAGTCTGTGAAGAATCAGGAAAGCAAGGCCAAGTAGTTTATACTGGTTATAATCAGAAAAGATCAAATGGAATAACACACAGAATAAATGCAGTTGGTGAAAGACTAGAAAAATAATATTTTCAGAAATATGCCCGAGTTGGGGTATTACTTTCAAAGGCAGAGAAGTAATACCCTTTTTCTGATCTGGAAGAAAGAGATATTTCAACAAAATTGAGGCAAGACTATAAGGTATGAATTTTAAGATGTTGATAGAAAGTATAGAAATAAGGGAGGAGGACTTCAGACGGAGAAACAAAAATTCGGAAACAGAGGAAGGTAGCTGTCTGATGGAAACTTGGAAAAGAAGAGGTGAACCAGAAAAAAAAAAAGGCAGTCACAGAAAGCAGGGAAGGAAAATATTTCAGCAAAGAGTAAAACAGACAGCAGTGTTGGAAGAGACTGCCAGGTAAAGGAGGATGAGGATGGCGTTTTGCTAGGAGGAGGTTATTGAAAAACACAATTTCATTGTAGTGCAGGGGGAAGAAGATTGATTTAAAAAGATTCTTTGATTAAAATTAGAACAGAAAAACTGCTGTCAAACATGGTCTGTACAAATCTGCATGAGCTTAGAGGTGGGAAGGGAAGGAATACAGCAATGAGTGAGGTGGCAGGGTTGAGGTGGATCTGCTTTTTAAAGAGAAATAAACAAGTCACTGTGCCAAAGGATCTGAAAACATAAATAAGCAGGTGAGAGAAATTACGAAGGAGACTGAACGGACAGGAGACAGCTATGAAGAGCTGAAAAGAGATGAGAAACTTCTGTGGTATGAGAAGAGGGTTTGCAGGAGAGGAATGAGAAAGGAAATAAATAGGCTGGGTTGATGGAGGAAGATCACAGAGTATTTCATTGGTTTTCCTTAAAAACCTGAGTCTCAGGCCAAAACCACATTTTCTCCCCACTTTTTTTGGCAAATGCTAGTTCATTTATACACTTACATGAAGATTCTTCAAGTTCTTGAAATCTCCTTCTTTAATTTCAGTGATTTTGTTGTTCTGTAAGTCCAGTAGAGTTGTGTCGGGAGGAAGGTCTTTTGGCACTTTCTCCAGACCTGGGGACAGTGAAAAGAATAAACAATTGACTTTGAAAGAAATTTTAAACAGGGGTCTGTACTTTTCTTAGCAGCATTTACCTCTCAGTAAACACCATTTCTAGAACTCATTTCCTGAAGAAGCTTATGAAGACTTATCTGAAAGTATTTCTGTCTCCAGCCAGTCAAAGGGAGTTTTATGTTGCTATGTCAAATCAAAATTTATTTATTCACATTTCCATTTTGCCCTTTTCTGACAATATATCTGAGTTATAGCTTGAAGCAAAGGATTGGGTTTGGGAAAATTATTTCTAACACGTTTAATTCCACTGAATTTTGTGAATAAAAATTGCTTTCAGAAAGAGGTATGGTATTTATTAATTTCACTGTGTGTTAGCTTTTGTGGACAGAGAACATTTCCTGCTATTTAAAAGGTAGTAGGCTTTTTTGAAAGAAGTACGATAGTTAATTATAATCATTTCCAGAAAAAATACTGTTTGTTTGACAGTAACTAAATAACTTGCAGTAAAGTCCACCTTAAAAAAAAAAAATCAATCCACCTCCCCCCTTTTCTTTCATCTGAAACTATGTCCAAGTTTTCTGGAGAACAAATCTCTTGGTTTCACTACAACTGCCAAAAGAACATCAGACAGTTTAAATTAAAGACTCTCTTTGGGACTATTTTCTGAATAGCTGATATGTAAGTCCGATGAAGTCATGGAAATCAAATTATTTAGTGTTAAATAACACTTGCTTTACCCAGCTTTCCTTTCATACTGTGACTTGGAATAGAGCAAATCTTTTATAGTCATTCTGATTTACCACAAATTAAAGTGTTCTTTCCTAACTAGTCTCTTTTTTTTTTTTTTTT